CGATTTTTTACCTATGGTATAGAAAAACATTTTCAACAAGAAACTCTCTGTGATCATGAAGCTGATAATCAAATAGATTACACAAGAAAAAAAGAAAAGTGTCAATAACAAAAATAATTTTTCTATTGAGGTCAATTATATGGTTTAGAAAAATTCTGGACATTTCTAGAATATTCTTGACAAAAACCAAAAATCAATCCAAAACTTGAATAAATTTTAAAAAACTATAAAAATCTTGAAGATTTTCGTGTTGATGGTGCATCATTTCCACAACAATTTTTCCGAACAAAATCAAATTATAGTAATTGAAAAACATTTTTTTTTCTATGGTATAAATAATTTCTTTATAGACTGTTCCAGCACCCGAAGCAATTGCTACTGCAGTAGCAAAGAACAGTGATACATCAAATTCATTAAAACCAAATGGTGAACATTTTCCGACACGTAATAATCGTGGTCAAGCTCGACAATCGAATCGATGAACAATATCTGAGAGGTGCTAAACTTTATACACGTTTTATTTTTATTTTTCTATGTATATATTACATTGGTTTGTTATTGTAGTAGATAGATAGATTAAATAGTGATGCATTTTCTTTTTCTATCGATAAAGATATGAAGAATTTTCATGTGGTTTCGTTTTGTTTCTGGAACTATTTGCTAATAAAAACAAAGCAACCAAGCAAATTTAATTTACTTATGATTATGCATGTTTTTCTTTTAGAAGAAAAAAAAAGACAATGGTTTCATCTCGTTTATTTAATAATATTGGTAAGATATTGAGATAATATTTTATTTCGATAGAAGAATTTAGTGTTTTAAGAAGAATTGATATTGGTTTAGCTATTGCTGGTGATGTGTTTAATTCTATGCTTTGTAATGGTAAATATGAAAAGATTAAAAAACACTTATTTTCTTTAAATGTAAATATATTTTAGTTGATGATAGCCATCGAGATGTTATTTTTGATCGTTTTCAAGGTGTTAAACTAGATGTTATTGAAGAAGGAACTCATTTTATGATTTCATGGCTTCATAGACCAATGATATTTGATATTCGTGCACGGCCACGATCTGTTCCATCAATAATAGAAATAAAAGGTATAAAAGCTAGAAGAAAACAGTCACCTTCAGGAGAGGGGTGAACATGAGGAAAATGTAAGCTCGCGAAAAAAAGAAGATAAATACGATGTCTATTGAAACATCAATGAATATATATGGCTGAGGTATCTTAAAAAATTTTATGGCCATCGATGGCGACTCAACTGATCGGTTTACACCTCTACACTCTTATCATTCACCAATCTCAGAATACTTCATAAAACTTAAAACTGGAAGTCTTCGTTATTTTTTCTTCGTATAAATGAAATATGCATAAATTACATTTTATTATTTTTATTTTAGATTTACAAGCAATTAATATAACATTACGTATTCTTTATTGGCCAAGAGCTGAACTTTTACCAAAAATTTTTTGCAAATTTGGGTTTAAATTATGAAGAACGTGTTTTATCATCGATTATTAATGAAGTTTTAAAATCTGTTGTACTAAGTCTCAGTTTGATGCTATTGAATTGATTACACAACGTACACTTATTTCTCAACGTGTTAGTGAATTATTAACAGAACGTGCTGCTCAATTTGGTTTATTACTTGATGATATTTCAATTGTAAGATACAACAAAAAAGAGTCTCGAGTTGATTATATATAGTTTTTTTCTTTAAATTAGACACATTTAAGTTTTAGACCTGAATTTACAAGTGCTGTTGAATTAAAACAAGTTGTACAACAAGATGTTGAAAAACAACGATTTTTAGTCGAAAAAGTAAATCAATAAGAATAAAATTTGTATGAGTTTGTTTGTTTTTTGATTAAAAAAAACAGACGGAACAAAGTCGTCAAGCAAATGTTATTGCAGTAGAAGGTGATGCTCGTACAGCTGATTTGATTGGCAAAGCTTTAGATGAAGCTGGTGATGGTAAATTTTCGAATATCTTTTATTATCCTGTCTTACTTTATTTTAATATTCATGTTAGATTTGATCGAACTTCGACGAATTGAAGCCGCTGATGGTATTGCAAATCAATTATCAAAATCAAGAAATAGCGTCTATTTACCACATGGTCCTCAAATATTACTTAACATTACTGATGCTATGCAATAAAAATATTGTTTTTTGTTTTCATAGTAAACTAACGAGATTGATTTAGAAAAATAAAAAGAACATATAAAAGTTTTTTTTTGTATGTGTGTGTGTGTTTATAAACTATTGAGAATACTAAAGCATTGTATTGTCCTATTTTTTGTTCGATTAAAGAAAAAGAAGATCAGATCAACAATTCTCTAGATGACATTAAAGATTCGAGTACGATTGAAATGATGAATTTCGATAATCTCTTTCGACGTTTTATATTAACTCAATCATTTGTACGTGGCTGGGGAGATCCATTTTATTTACAAGAAATTTTTACCTGTCGACGTGAAAAAATTGGTGTAAGAGATGAGTGTTTAGAGCTTGTACCAGCTGAAAATGTACAGGAAAATACTGTTGAAATAATTAAACAAGAAACAAAAAGGTAATCAAAATTATATAAATGCTCGATTTGGTTCATCACTTGCCAATTATTTATCACATTTGGTAAGTAATTAAAATTATTTGAATCATTTAATTAATATTATCTTTTTTCTTTTGTTATATTTATTTAAATAGGTTCCATCTCAAATAGCTACAGCTCATTTTCAAGTTGTTCTATCACGTGATCATGGTTTTAGTCGACGAAGGTTATTTACTGCAGTCCCATTAGTTAATCAATATCCTATAGGTTCAATTCTTCTTGAAAATCCATATTATGGTTTAAGAAAACCACTAAATCAATCTCGTTCATCATTATTATATGTTACCGATTTATATATTATGAGTGAAGTACTTGTTTTAGAAACATTTATGCTACTTCATTGGTGTCAAAAAATGAAGTTAACATCAGTTATTCTACATGGTTTTTCTTTTGGTGGACATAAGGCTTCATTAGCGTTTACAAAGTAAGATTCAATTCTATTATTTGATCTATTTAATGAATGGATATACAGTATCTATCATAATTTCAAATAATGATTCAAGTAGAGCAAACCATATTACAAAAAGAATATAAATTAAAAACATTGATTATTTGATTCCCTAAGTTAGGATTCTTTTAGACAACCCAAAAGCCTAATTTCTCAGTATCTAATACTTGAACTCTCTAGGACAGTTTTTTATTGAGTAAAAGTTAAATAATTTTGGTAGCCATTGTGTATATATTTATATTTTAGATGGCCTGATCCACCTTCTCGACAATTCTATGAAAATAAAGCCTCTCAAACATTTTATGATTATGTACGTGAACGAAATCGATCAATAGATTCAAATAAAATTGTTCTCGATCTAATTAAAGATGTGATGCGTCTTCTTATGAATGAATTTACATCTTTATATAATTATTTACGTTCAGTTCAATCAAATATATCTAATCCTGTGTTTATTGCTTGTACACATGATGGTTATGTATTACGTAATGGTATTCCACATATGACTGATGTATGACCTGGTATTTATATCCGATATATTCCTCATGGATATGTTAGTGCATTTTTATTTAATCAATCAGGTCTTCATCATGCTGCTGCTGAAATGTTACAACGACAAGAATCAAATGTAAAATTAAAAAAAACATCTAATCATACCACTAATTTCTGTTACTACACCTAAAAATTCGTGAAGATATATATTTTTTTCATATAGATATTTTCTCGAACAGTATCAAATATTTCCTAGTTTTTGTGTTATGATTTGAATAATAACCCAGAGAAAAAAAAACTTTTGATCGAATATAAACTAGATAATATAGTA